ATCGTACCAAACAGTGACCTTTAAGTCCCAGAAAAATCAAGTCAAAGACGTTCCATTGTCTGCACTGAACCATGAACAGCCTAAAAAAAACAACCCTATTGCCAAATACACTTTTCATCAGACTGGGGGAACACAATGTTCTTTTAACTTTGCCACATGTAACTATAACAAGCTACCTCTGTGTTTTCGCATTGAAGTGCCTTTCCAGATCATTCTAATCTTTCTTAACAAACACTTGCGTTATAGTTCTTTGATAAACAGAGTATTAAAGGCTAAAACGTTTATAAGGTATTACACAAATTCATTACCCCTGCTCAAAATTTATCGTTCTACAAATATTGTTGTCTAAGGGTGGTGCAGAGTCCTGAATGAAATGATCTGTGCGGTACTTGTAATTTTATACTCATTGTATTGTGAAATTCTGCATAAAGCCAGAAGAGAATGACTTGAAGACAAGTAAGAAAGCATAACTCTTTGAGTTATTTATTTACATTTCATATCGTGGAGGTACCAAAGCTGCTCATTGTCTTTTTCTTCCTCTTTTTCACATCTCTAAACTAGGTCAGTTTGGCATATTGAGTTGATAAGCCTGTTCAATAATCAAGAATAAAATCCCTTTTTTCTTATATTCTATTACCAAACAATGTGGTGTATAGTCAATCTTGTGTCTTTACGGACATAAGTATGTTCTCACAAACAGGCGTATCACCTATTTTAAACAATTTCTTAAAAACTGATAAAGCAATATCTATAATCGTTATAGGGAATGATAAATCAGCGGTTGTACTATCTTGCCAAAAATGGAAACGAAAAAGCAAATGGTTATGCCACAGCGAGAATTTAAAAAGAGTCCAAAACTTTGAAACGCTCTCCTGGAAAATGCCAAAAATGCTCTTGCGCCCTTTTGTGGGATGGGCGACGATATGTTCTTTTTTTTATTTGAAGTGGACTCCATCATATGTTCTTTTTTTATTTGAAGTGGACTCCATCATATATGTTCTTTTTTTATTGGAAGTGGACTCCATCATATAGGGCCTATGTTCTTTTTTTATTTGAAGTGGACTCCATCATATATGTTCTTTTTTTATTGGAAGTGGACTCCATCATATATGTTCTTTTTTTATTTGAAGTGGGCTCCATCATATATGTTCTTTTTTTTATTAACTCTTGATTTGCTGTTCAGAAGCAATTGTCTGTCTGGGTTTTTTTTTCTTCAGCCTTGTTGATCCATGGGAGTCCCTCTTTATAATTTCTAGAGCTGTTTGTGTGGCTTAGCTTTCATATGCTTTGATAAAACACACCCATCAGTTTCATAAGGGAATCAGACATTCAGTTTACTAGCCTTTTAAGTTTTTACATTTTTGATAATTTTTATTAAAACCAGGACAATTCTTACTTTTACCCCCTCCCCTCCTCTTCTCAACAACGCTTAAACACAAAAAACACATACATATGCACAGACTAAACTGGTGTCTGTGGTGTACGGGTAAGGTGGTTCACTGCCCCCTGGGATGTTGTATCCCTCTCTGTCTGTCTGCTGGGATGTTGTATCCCTCTCTGTCTGTCTGCTGGGATGTTGTATCCCTCTCTGTCTGTCTGCTGGGATGTTGTATCCCTCTCTGTCTGTCTGCTGGGATGTTGTATCCCTCTCTGTCTGTCTGCCGGAATGTTGTATCCCTCTCTGTCTGTCTGCCGGAATGTTGTATCCCTCTCTGTCTGTCTGCTGGGATGTTGTATCCCTCTGTCTTTCTGCTGGGATGTTGTATCCCTCTCAGCCCGGGTTGGCCCTGACAGGCAGGGTTGGACGCCTACCTCCTAAATGATCTAATTTGTGTCAAAAGACCTAACGTAAAAGAACGAGAAAAAAAAGATTTACTTGACGCCTACATTGATACAGACTAAAAACCTATCAGTTGCTTGTATGAATGTAACAAGTACTCTGACATGTCTATAGAAACAGGAATCTCCATTCCTTCTACAGCAACAATCAAATATATATTACCACTTTTGACACAGATTGATCTGACTGCTCATCATTGAATAGTTTAAGAGGGAAATAATCCCTGTACTTGTACTACCAAATTACCTTGTGCACTTGGGAAACACATTTCATTTTCAAGAATTAGTCTAAATAAACAAAACAAATGCACTTTTCGATGTAAGTTAGCTCAGTTAGTGTCAGTTTTAAAAGAAAAACGCACACTCACTCTTGGGGGGGGGGGGGGAGGGTGCATTACATTTCTCTGTTTAGAATTTTACTTTTCATCGGAAACCATGTGGAACACTTGGGAGAAGTCCTGTGGTACTGGGAAATTCTTACCAGTAAGAGTAAGGACATCCACTTTGTTCTGTGCCAGAAACACCAAAATTACTGAACACCTTTGCTTCTGATGTGAAGGCAGTTGTCTTGTATTTCTTTTCAACTTGGCTCAATTGTTTTGCATGTCATGTTTCATGTTTTGAAGGAGGATTCGAACATGTCGGACTCTCGTCCTGGCACGGGACTGGCTGGAGCCTCGGGGGATCCCATGAACCCTGATCTGGAGGACTTGTATGTCAAGTACAAGGTAAATGATTGGTTCGTTTGGTACAAGGTAAATGGTTGGTTCGTTTGGGACAAGGTAAATAATTGGTTCGTTTGGGACAAGGTAAATGGTTGGTTCGTATGGGACAAGGTAAATGGTTGGTATGTTTGGGACAAGGTAAATGGTTGGTATGTTTGGGACAAGGTAAATGACTTTATGTCAAGTACAAGGTAAATGATTTGTATGTCAAGTACTAGGTAAATGATTTGTATGTCAAGTACTAGGTAAATGATTTGTATGTCAAGTACAAGGTAAATGATTGTATGTCAAGTACTAGGTAAATGATTTGTATGTCAAGTACAAGGTAAATGATTGTATGTCAAGTACAAGGTAAATGATTGTATGTCAAGTACTAGGTAAATGATTTGTATGTCAAGTACAAGGTAAATGATTTGTATAGGTAAATGATTTGTATGTCAAGTACAAGGTAAATGATTTGTATAGGTAAATGATTTGTATGTCAAGTACAAGGTAAATGATTTGTATAGGTAAATGATTTGTATGTCAAGTACAAGGTAAATGATTTGTATGTCAAGTACCAGTTAAATGATTACTAAATGGTGTGAAACTGTGGCTGGTGAATATCTCTTTGATGTGATACTGCTTATTCTCACTTTGCTTCTCTAGCTAGAACAATGTATTTATTTGCTAGTGATGTCATCGCCTTTATTTGTGGAGTAATGTTGTGCAATTTGAGGAGATAGATGAAACTTCGTAGACTCTTCAAAATATGAAGTCACCATTCCTGCTATTGAAATACAGTGTCTAAATGTTGGGGGGGGGGGGGGGCGTCATATATATATATATATATATATATATATATATATATACTCGCCCATATATATGGATATATATAGAGATATATATATAGATATATATATATATATATATATATATATATAGAGAGATATATATACATATATATATATATATATATATATATATATAGATATATATATATATATATATATATATATATATATATATATATATATATATATATATATATATATATATATATATATATATATATATGAGTCCATCAGCAACATTCATTGTTCAACATTCAGTATTCACAGCGCCGTTCTCTGAGGGCGCTATGTCGTGATCAGTGATCCCACATGACCATTAACAATGCTTTGAATTTACCATGCTTGGATTATCTGTGAATAGGGGAAAAATTGTGATATTGAATAGTGTAGTAGAATTGGTACAGCTCTACCGTAGAGTTTGGCTTCTAGCAGCTATTGTAATGTTGGATTTTGAAAGTTGAGAACTTTCTTCTTGAACCGCTCCTCTTTTGTTCTTCTCCATTCCTTCATTTCTCCAATCTCCTTTCTTCTTTTGACTAGGATGTCTGAGTATTGATATGACAGGCCCATGTGCTGCTGTTGAAATTGTTGAAACAGATACCAGGGTGAATAAGACTGAAGTCTGCTGGTTTTTCCTTCCTTCAGAAACTGCAGAAACAGCTGGAGTTCTTGGAGGTCCAGGAGGAATACATTAAGGATGAACAGAAGAATCTGAAGAAGGAGTATCTTCACGCTCAGGAGGAAGTCAAGCGCATTCAGAGTGTCCCTTTGGTCATTGGCCAGTTCCTGGAGGCTGTTGACCAGAACAATGGGATTGTTGGTTCTACCACAGGTGTGCTTGCTGTCTTGCTCTTATTCACAATGAGATCATTCATGTTCAGATATAGTCTACTTTTTTTATCTTTCACTTTAAAAAATTACCAGCTTGCTTTCATGACTGCCTCTACACAAATATACAAACAAACACGCACACACACGCACGCACACACTAATAAATGCAACATGATAATCATTACTCTACGAACAAACACAGGGCTTGAAGAGAACTATGAGAGTGAGCAAGGCTTTTTGGGATTAAAATGACAAGGTTCATGTTCAAAATAAAGAGGGTTTCCCCCTACTTGTGATAGATTAGCTTCCTGCTGTGTTGGAACAGAGATTTTTCTGTTGCAACCGTCAGAGTTTTCTCATTTCTTTGCTTTCTCAAAATACTGCTTCTACTATCTGGTGTTTGACCTCAGATTCTTTATGCTTGTTTGAACATCATAAAGATCTTACTCTGTCAATTGGTCAGCCACACAAAACGTGAAGACTTCAATTCATAATTGTTGAAAAACATGTTTCTCTGTTACTGTTATCCTCATGAGACTTTGTCGCTCCAGAACTATTTTGTCGAAACAAATGTCTCTGTAAGATTCTCTTGTGTGTGTTTTTTTTTACTGGTTCTGTTAGCTTGTGGATAGAGAGCATCACTCTGGTAGGTGTTAATAGAGCATCACTCTGGTAGGTGTTAATAGAGCATCACTCTGGTAGGTCTTAATAGAGCATCACTCTGGTAGGTCTTAATAGAGCATCTCTCTGGTAGGTCTTAATAGAGCATCACTCTGGTAGGTCTTCCGTCCTTTCTTCCCCTCTGTTGTTTCCGTCTGTCCGTCTTTACTCTTCCCCAGTAAGAAATGACCACAATGGTGTCCTTGTGCTTCTTTTTCTCAAACTCCGAGGGGCTCAATTGCTTCTCCAATGATCATTACTGGCTATTTCTTCTACAGGTTCCAATTACTACGTTCGTATTTTGAGTACCATTGACCGTGAGCTGCTGAAGCCATCGGCCAGTGTAGCCCTCCACAAACACAGCAACGCTCTGGTGGATGTTCTCCCCCCCGAGGCAGACAGCAGTATCACCATGCTCCAAGCAGGTCCTCTTGCTTTGTAACTTACTGCTACCGTTCTGTCGTCTGAGATACTCGTTGTTGGGGGAATGACTTTTCTCTTTGGTGGATTCATTGTAAAATGTTTGTTGTGATGTTGTGTAACCAATCTACGTAGTCTGGCTACTGTTGGGTGTTGATGTTAGCTGCTGTATACATCCCCACTGCTCAGTGTCGTGGGAAAACAGGAAGGAAAAAGATGATCATGCACAATGTGTTCAGGAAAATAGAGTGTGTTTTTCACATGTAGTTTTGGTATGCAGGGAACATGGAACATTTTGATGTTGTCTTGAACAGAGTTTTTGTGTAGATTGTGTCCTTCACTGATTATCTACATGTCCTTCCTTCTGTGGTGTTTAGATGAGAAACCTGATGTGACCTACTCTGACATCGGAGGAATGGACATCCAGAAGCAGGAAGTACGAGAAGCCGTGGAGCTGCCCTTGACCCACTTTGAGCTGTATAAGCAGATCGGCATTGACCCTCCGAGGGGGGTTCTCATGTTTGGCCCGCCGGGCTGTGGAAAGACTATGTTGGCCAAGGCTGTTGCTCACCACACCACTGGTCAGTAGTTGTGTCTACTTGTACTCACCACTGGTCAGTTGTTGTGTCTACTTGTACTCACCACTGGTCAGTTGTTGTGTCTACTTGTACTCACCACTGGTCAGTTGTTGTGTCTACTTGTACTCACCACTGGTCAGTTGTTGTGTCTACTTGTACTCACCACTGGTCAGTTGTTGTGTCTACTTGTACTCACCACTGGTCAGTTGTTGTGTCTACTTGTACTCACCACTGGTCAGTAGTTGTGTCTACTTGTACTCACCACTGGTCAGTTGTTGTGTCTACTTGTACTCACCACTGGTCAGTTGTTGTGTCTACTTGTACTCACCACTGGTCAGTTGTTGTGTCTACTTGTACTCACCACTGGTCAGTTGTTGTGTCTACTTGTACTCACCACTGGTCAGTTGTTGTGTCTACTTGTACTCACCACTGGTCAGTTGTTGTGTCTACTTGTACTCACCACTGGTCAGTTGTTGTGTCTACTTGTACTGAGAGAAAACAGAACTATGTACACGTTACTTGGTGTGGTATACAACAGAACCCATTACTCCATGTCGTTTAGAACAGAACTATGTACACGTTACTTGGTGTGGTATACAACAGAACTCATTACTCCATGTCGTTTAGAACAGAACTATGTACACGTTACTTGGTGTGGTATACAACAGAACTCATTACTCCATGTCGTTTAGAACAGAACTATGTACACGTTACTTGGTGTGGTATACAACAGAACTCATTACTCCATGTCGTTTAGAACAGAACTATGTACACGTTACTTGGTGTGGTATACAACAGAACTCATTACTCCATGTCGTTTAGAACAGAACAAATCTTTACTTCTAGTATCTATTTGTGGTGGCCGAATGTTGCTATTGAAAAGGCTTTTTAATGGCCGCATAGATCGACATGCGGTTTTCGCCAAAAGATTCTTTAAAATATACTCCAGATCACGACGCTCTTCGTTTTTTCAGTTTCGAGACAGTTTTGCAGCAAAAAGCTAAATTTCTTTATTTCGCCGATCGCTTTTGTAGGCCAACGCTTCTGTCTCTGGAATTTTAGAAAATCCGGAAGTGATATTTCACGAGGCGCATTTTGTTTTGAGAGTATAGATCTAGACCTTATAATTTTTTGCATCTCTCAAGATTTATTGCCCCTTTCCAGTAGAGTGTAAATATAGTAGGCCAATGACTTTTAGTTGATATTAAAGCACCGATCATTCCTTTCATCGAAAGGGGGCCCAGCTAGTTCTTTATAAAAGAACAGAACAAAAGGAGAAAAACTCATTACTTGATGTAGAATAGAACAAAACAGTTCATTACTTGATGTAGAATAGAACAAAACAGTTCATTACTTCATCTAGAATAGAACAAAACAGTTCATTACATCATCTAGCATAGAACAAAACAGTTCATTACTTGATGTAGAATAGAACAAAATAGTTAATTACATGATGTAGAATAGAACAAAATAGTTAATTACATCATTTAGCATAGAATAGAATAATTGACTCATTACTTTATGTAATCTAAAACAGATCAGTCAACCCCCCCCCCCCACCCCGGCAGTGCTACTGTTTCCTCATCCGTATTGTCGTCATTTTTCCTCTTCTTTTATATGTTTGTCCCTGTCTTGTGAACCGCTATTTCCGGGGTGCCTTGATAGCCGATACAGACTTACTGCTGTTGAAGCTAGAGAGGTGAGCAGAGTAAGCCTGATTCCCTTTTTAGACTTCTCTGTTGACATCCACCCTTTGGCACTCATATGACCTTATGCTGTGGCATGTGCCGTAAAACCTTACTAAAACAAATAAGATCAGTGGCCTGGCATAGTATAGCTCTTAGTGGGCTCCTTCAGCCTGTAGTACAGAGGAGAATGTGGTGTTTTCCTCTAAGTGGTCTTACCGACTGCAGTGTAAAGTCTAGCTCGCTCATAGGGAAATCTGTGGGGCGCAGAAATCTCTTTGTTGTGTATGAATTTCTGGTCTATATCTAAGGAGATAGCAAAGTTGGACAAATTGGTCCAAATTTTACATAAATTATGCCCCCTATACAAAACCACATGTGCACTGGGTTCATAAACGCTGAGATCTGCACATTTGGATTTTTGACTTTTTGTTTTTTTATCCCCCTCTGCTAGAAACCGGTTTTTCCCCAACTGAAATGCCTTTCCGCCTCTTTTGCTCTGCTATGGTCTACTACAAGTTCACCGTGACCTTACTTTGCAGAACGCGCACCAGCTATTTCATAATGTGTGAGAAGAGAAATTGCAGGACAATATCGAATACGTTCGGCTCACGTGGCCACAGACTCCCCACCTGCAACTATGTGTCAGCCTGATCTTCTGCTGAAAATTTCTGTGGAATATACATTAAACATTTCCTTGGCCTGCACAATTGCCCTTGGCTTATAGAGAGGTCTTTGGCCCACACTCTTATCATGCCATGCACCCCCCCCCCCCCCTCCATTTCTCTTTCTCTCTCTCCAATCACAGCACAATCCTTCAATAGACCAAAGTTGTGCCAGTGTTCTATAGTCGATCTGTCCCTGCTGAAGCCAGTTGTTTTCACTGTGTATGCATAGTTTATGTTGTGCATATTTTGAATGCAAAGAATATAGAGGCCTGAATGTCTGCTCACTATGTGCATACTAGACTGTGGTTTAATTTTAAACAATTTGGAGTGTGCTTGGAGAAAGGTCCCAGTTGTTGGCAGAGCTATTTTTGGGCAAGGAGACGAAAAAGCAAGAAAAATGTCATGTGGTTGAAAATGTAGTTCCGTAAGAAAAAGTATGCTTGGAGTGTAAAACAGGGTTCCCGCGGCCTCCTTCAATTTGATGTAGGTCCTTAAGAAAAAGTATGCTTGGAGTGTAAAACAGGGTTCCCACGGCCTCCTTGAATTTGATGGGAAGTTCATGACAGGAACCCTGGTTCAAATTGTGCTGGAGGCTTGGTCAGGATGTTCATACATACATTTAGGTAGTCAGACATCAACAATTTGGAAGATCTTATGTTTAACTCTGTTGTCGTTTAATGGTTTCAGCTGCTTTTATTCGAGTGGTGGGATCGGAATTTGTCCAGAAATATCTGGGGGAAGGTCCCCGAATGGTGAGAGACGTGTTCCGACTAGCAAAGGAAAATGCCCCTGCCATCATCTTCATTGATGAGATTGACGCAATTGCCACAAAGAGATTCGATGCTCAGACAGGAGGTAAGCTCGCCCTTTATCTCATTGGCCCACCTTTTTCTAGAGTTTTGTTCAACAAAAATATTTGTCAAGTAGCTAAGAGAGAATCAGTCAGGTGCTCAATATCGGAGAAAAAAAAAGGTGACTCTTATTCCTTTCCAGGGAAATGTATTCTTTCCTTGTCACTGTTTTATGAGCTGATGGTAGACCTTCATGTTTGGAACACCCTGACGGATCAGTTTGACACCAGCCGAAGTCTTACTGAGACAGTTATTAAAGCAGCGGGATAATGTAAAAGGCCGTATCCATACCTGCCAACCCTACAGAAAAAATCGGTATGTTACTGACTTTTTGGTCAAACTGCCGATCCACCGATTTTGAGAGATAAACCACCGACAAGCGCCCCACATGTCGTCTTCATTGCTGTAAAATTTCAGATCTTTTTGTGTAGTAGGCCTACACTTTACGTACCAATTTAAAATTACTTCCCATCCATTGATAAAACATTTGAGCAGGAAACTAGATCACGGACCCAACATGCGAGTCGCCGACATGCAAGAGGCGCGTGATCGCAAGACGGCATGTGATTGACTGCCTAAAACCAGAGGGTTTACAGTAATACAATGTTAAAACTGCTAAAGCTAAACAGGTCACCAATGACGTCATGCGGGATTTCCCGATACTGCTTTGCTAAGGTGTAGAGCGTGATCGGCCACAGTTCAAGCGATGTCGCGCAATTCAACATATTTTCATGCAAATTTTATATTAGTCTTAAAGATCCAAAGATAGATTTCGAAAAAGTGATAGCAGAACTAGATTCTGCACAAAAAATCACACGGAGATGCCAAGTTTCCATAGCTGCCAAGTAGTACGTAAAAAATGTGTTTAGTACGATTTTGGGGTTTGAGTACGGAAATCCATTTCGGCATTGGAAAATACGTTTTCAACTTTTCTCCTCTTAGTTTCTATACAAACTGGCTTCAAGCAAGAAAAATTTTTTAATTTATGACCGGATAGGCGAATGTAAATAAGTACGGGAGTCAACAAGACAGCGAGAGTAGTGTCCCCTCTATTAAACTGGAGGTCGACCTCCTTCCGCGAGTTGTGCCCCTTCTGTATTTTTTAAAAATTAATATTACTGAAAACCTGGCAACGATGACTTTCATTCATCTACTTCAGCTCATTACCGACTTAGGAACAGTTTTTCCTCCAAAGACACCAAGAAACCTCCCACTTTTGGGCAATATTTTCCTATCTATTATATATATATGAAAGTCACCCAAAATTTTGAAACAAAAAATCCCAATAACTTTTTAATTTATGACTGGGTTTTTTAAATTTAAAAACCAGTTCTTACAATTTACTCTTCTTTCAATTAAGCCGGATAAAAATTGAATTTTTCTGTAATTGCTAAATTTTGTGTTTTTTTGCTCTTTGTCATTTTCTACATTTGTTTGAAGTCGCAAACACACTCATGTATGTGTGGGTCAAAATAGTACTAAGGGTCCCCAATTAAGTATGCAGCAAGTGGTAATATAGCCAACTACAGATTCTTTAGGTCAACTACAGACTTTTGGACAAAAATTTGTGTCAACTACAGATTTTGTCCCTGGCAATGTTGGCAGGTGTGCGTATTCATAACATTCCCTAGCACTCTGATAGTGTAGAAAAGCTGTAATGGTAGCACTTTGACAATGTACAAGTTAATTGGTGTAGCATTTTGATGGTTAGAGAAGGTCATTATTTTGCTCTTACCAGTGTAAAAGGTCATTATTGTAGCTCTTACTGTGTAAAAGGTCATTATTGTAGCTCTTACCAGTGTAAAAGGTCATTATTGTAGCTCTTACTGTGTAAAAGGTCATTATTGTAGCTCTTACTGTGTAAAAGGTCATCATTGTAGCTCATAGCAGTGTAAAAGGTCATTATTGTAGCTCTTAGCAGTGTAAAAGGTCATTATTGTAGCTCTTACTGTGTAAAAGGTCATTATTGTAGCTCTTACTGTGTAAAAGGTCATTATTGTAGCTCTTACTGTGTAAAAGGTCATTATTGTAGCTCTTACCAGTGTAAAAGGTCATTTTTGTAGCTCTTACTGTGTAAAAGGTCATTATTGTAGCTCTTACTGTGTAAAAGGTCATTATTGTAGCTCTTAGCAGTGTAAAAGGTCATTATTGTAGCTCTTACTGTGTAAAAGGTCATTATTGTAGCTCTTACTGTGTAAAAGGTCATTATTGTAGCTCTTACCAGTGTAAAAGGTCATTATTGTAGCTCTTACTGTGTAAAAGGTCATTATTGTAGCTCTTACTGTGTAAAAGGTCATTATTGTAGCTCTTACTGTGTAAAAGGTCATTATTGTAGCTCTTACCAGTGTAAAAGGTCATTATTGTAGCTCTTACTGTGTAAAAGGTCATTATTGTAGCTCTTACTGTGTAAAAGGTCATTATTGTAGCTCTTAGCAGTGTAAAAGGTAATTATTGTGGCCCAGTGTCCATGGCACAGCAGAAAGGATATATGGTTTCACTCTTTTCTGTCATTTTGACAAGTTGTTTGGACATTTTGAAAATGGTCCAAAAGTCAGAGGTGAGTTAAAGGAAGGTGAAAAAAAGAATAGAACAAAATCCTTTCTGTGTGAGAGTTTGCTGTGTACAGCGAATGTAGCCCAGTATAGCCCTCATTCATTTTGTCTATTTTTTCTTCAGCGGATCGAGAGGTACAGAGAATTCTGCTAGAACTTTTGAACCAGATGGACGGCTTTGACCAGACTGTCAATGTCAAGGTTTGTTCCTTCCACCTTTATCTGTGCACTAATTGATCAAACCTCTCCCAGCGTCTGTGGTGTACTCTCTCGGCGTCTGTGGTGTACTCTCCCGTCGTCTGTGTGCTGTACTCTCCCTGCGTCTGTGGTGTACTCTACTGTGTGCTGTACTCTACTGTGTGCTGTACTCTACTGTGTGGTGTACTCTACTGTGTGCTGTACTCTACTGTGTGCTGTACTCTACTGTGTGCTGTACTCTACTGTGTGGTGTACTCTCCTGTGTGGTGTACTCTACTGTGTGCTGTACTCTCCTGTGTGCTGTACTCTACTGTGTGCTGTACTCTACTGTGTGTGCTGTACTCTACTGTGTGCTGTACTCTCCCGACGTCTGTGGTGTAATCTCCTGTGTGGTGTACTCTACTGTGTGCTGTACTCTACTGTGTGCTGTACTCTACTGTGTGGTGTACTCTCCTGTGTGGTGTACTCTACTGTGTGCTGTACTCTCCTGTGTGCTGTACTCTACTGTGTGCTGTACTCTACTGTGTGTGCTGTACTCTACTGTGTGTGCTGTACTCTACTGTGTGTGCTAGGGCTGTACCCCGGTAGCAAACCCGCTCGTGCTCACAAGCCCCTAGTTCAAGTCACAAGCCTCAAATGACTAGGTCAAATCATCAAATCAAATCACCAGCATGATAAGTTGAGTCTAGCGCAAACTGTAACCTCCTTGGTCTAGTCTAAACTTCAAGTCCACAGCAACTAGCAATCCGCGAAGCCACTCGTGTCAGGCCCCCTCATCATCTCCACCCTGCTTGCAATCCGCGAAGCCACTTACGTCTGAAAAAGAGAGAGGGGGGAGAGTGAGAGATCTCGCCCACAGAGTCACTGCGCGGCGTGGCGCTGTAGTTTACTCGATTAATCGAGGCCTGCGCAAGCCTCAAGTCCCGTCCGCTGCCACAGGCCCCACAATTCACACAGTACTGATTTGCGCTAGGCTTACAGATTTGCCCCAGGACAAGCTCCAAACCTGACCTGCTGACTTGTACTGTCTCGATACACCGAGCGAGCGGCACGGGCTCGATGGCGTAGGACCGTCTTGATTTCGACAAGACAGTCCGATGTGTTCAAACAGCAAGACAGTACTGCCCGCTGTGTGAACTTTGAACCGTGGAGGAAGGGAGAGGCTGGGCTTGTTTTGGTGCAAGGCGTAGAGAGCTGAAGTTATTTTTAACTTCCCGCCGTTGATCAGCTAAGCGAATGGATAAGTGAGAGGGAGCGTGGTATTGTAGTAACAGAGACCTAGGTTTCTGATAATAATAAGAATAAGTAGACTTAGATTACCCTAGAATGGAGAACTCCAGGGGTCGTTGTGATTGGCTTTTGTATCGTATGTATGTAACCTATTTTGTAGATGTGTTACACTCACAGTGACATAATACAGAACATTTAGGAGACGGGCTAGGCCTACTTCAACCCAATGTCAGGGCCAACCTGGGCTGAGAGGGAACAACGCCCCAGCAGAAAGACGGAGGTTCTCAGTAAAATTTCTCCCCATACGGGAATCGAACTGAGGTCTTTTGCGTGCGACGATGAAGCGCTTGGCTCGTGCACATTAAAAATATACAGGCCTTAACATCATAAGAATAGCCGATCCAATATTAATTTTTAAGTGCATTAAATAGAGCTTTTTGTTGTTTACAACCGAACTATGAAAAAAACAACAACCGATCTTGCACTTTTGGTGCAAGCCTCTCAACGCAAATAACCAGAGAATCTATAATATGTACTGAGCCCACTGCCACGAGAGTTCGCGACGTCACGACACAGTACAGCAGGACTGTCCGCGAGTCACAACTCACCGGAAGTTCACTCCGGTAGCAAGCGGGAGGCAAATCAAACCACAAGCCTGCTCGCAAGACTATAGCGCAAGACTTCCGCTGCTTTACAAGCCTTCGATTAACCGAGCAGAATCCAGCCCTAGTGTGTGCTGTACTCTACTGTGTGCTGTACTCTACTGTGTGCTGTACTCTCTCGGCGTCTGTGCTGTACTCTACTGTGTGTGGTCTACTGTGTGGTGTACTCTACTGTGTGGTGTACTCTCCTGGCGTCTGTGGTGTACTCTCCTGGCGTCTGTGGTGTACTCTCCTGTGTGGTGTACTCTACTGTGTGGTGTACTCTCCTGGCGTCTGTGGTGTACTCTCCTGTGTGTGGTGTACTCTACTGTGTGGTGTACTCTCCTGGCGTCTGTGGAATAACCTTTCAGGACGCTCTTGTTGTTATGAATGACCTGAGGTTCGAAAGGGGATATCGGTCAATTTCCGAATGTTTTACACTCAAATTGTTCTTTGTACCTGCACAATTGTATTTAAAACTATCAAACAAGCTTATTTTTTATCAGGTAGTATCATTTCATACAAAATCAAGCTCATTTGAAGGATTTTGTATACAAAAATGGAAGTCTTGTTTCCTGACTATCCTTTCGAGCTCCTCATGTCTAAGTGGGTCAATTTCTTCTATAATTTCATTGGACGAACATCTAGAGCTACCAACTTGGCATGTTTTGAATGAGACGTATGCCTTGATTACGAACCTACGCAGGTGGTTCTAGAAGAAGCCACAAACACACACAAACTCAAGCAGACTGACACACACACACTTGACCTGCGTGAATGGGGATCTGACTCAGGACCCGAATGACACGTAAGAGGATGCGCGTGCGCTGAGCCAGGGGCTACACTGATTCGGGACCAGAACGTAGGCGAGGTGCCGAAATAGGCTTATCGGGCTACATAAACCCGGCTCCTGCAGGACGAGGGTTAATTGGTACATTTTGTAAAGCCGGTATTTTACATATTTTTTGTAAAAAGTAATCTTTAAACATTTTGACAGTATTTTTAAAAGCTTTCTATTTAAACGCCAAAGGCCAAATATATACCACGGGAAAGCCCTTTGAAAGCTGTACAGTTCTCCGCCAATGAAAAGACGGTATTTAATTATCCCTCGTTCCGCGAAGCATTTGAATGCACACATGTCAATTTTTTAACCGGCGACCACGCATTCCGACCGAGAGGGTCTTCGCTTTCGTCGGCGATTCTCCAGCTCCTAATAATCGGACATATAAACAACTTACACCATTGTAATGAGGAAAAGCTGAACTTTTACAAGGTGTACGGCATTTGGTGATTTATAGCGAAAGAGCAAAGAAACAGCGATCGGAATTACACAGATTTCACCGATATCACACGGTCAGAAGGCCGTGAGTGCCCGCGAGGCTGTGTTTACGCTATCTAATATGAGACATGGAAGCCTTTTGCTATTTATATTAGAAAAATGTGAGACGTGGAAGCTTTTTGCTATTTATATGAGAAAAATGTGAGACGTGGAAGCTTTTTGCTGTTTGATAAATCATGTCAGCCCTTGGTGATACACCGTCAATGGGTACAACATTGACAGAATTGTCTGGAGTGGCATGTGTCTTGCCAGTCTCTGAATGCTCTGACAGAAATCTGCCATCATGTTGCATCCCATTGGCCGTAATAGCTCTCTCTCTCATGATATTAATGTCTTGATAACATTTTTCACCTGACTCATTACTGTGCTAAGGTTTTGAGGTAATTGGTCAAATTGACTCATAAAAACTACAAACCATGTGGCAAGTTTCTGGGTTGATTCTTTGAAGCCCCTGTTCAAATTGAGTTTCAACGGTATGATTAATCGTGAGTTGTATCCATAGGCTACTAGACACTGCCTTTTTTTATGTGGGTTTTTTTTTTTAAGGGACATACTGTCTATGGTACTGCCAGATTTTTTATAGATTTACTCCGCACAAATACACATAATGGTTGATTTGTAAGAAATTGTCAAGTCTTCTGTTTTTCTCAATTTTGGTAGTAATTTTTTAAACTTTATATTTTTCTAACATTTTGGTTTATTTCTTTCATATTGACAACTTTGAGGTCTCCTTGGTTGAATTTTGTTAGTTCAAAGTTTTATGAAAATTGTGGCAAAGATGATTGAGTTACTGCTGTTTCCTTGGGTTGTCCTGTTCTTTCAATGATGGAAAATGAAATAGCAGGGAGAAGCTACCATGCCCTCCAAGCCTTGTGTTTCTCTTTATTTCTATCATGTGTTTAGATGGTGGATTCTTAGGTTACATGGCTCTAACCACTGGTTAACCTTATCCCTACGCCCTGGGGTCTTTTTGTACCCATGGGCTTGTATTCTTAACATTTTAGAATACTTCTAGTGTGAGGATCTCTTTGAAACTTTCAGTATTTCTCAAAAAATCATTTTGACAGACTGCTATGCAAAGCGTACAGATTGGATTAACGAGTAAATTTCCTCTTTGGGAAGTGGTGGCACAGAGTTCCCCACGTCATATGGATACGATAGGAAAACACGACGTACGGGTAGGGTTAAGTGGTGGCACGGAGTTCTCCACATCGTATGGATACAATAGGAAAACACGACGTACGGGTAGGGTTAAGTGGTGGCACGGAGTTCTCCACGTCGTATGGATACGATAGGAAAACACGACGTACGGGTAGTGTTAAGTGATGGCAGAGTTCCCACGTCGTATGGATACGATAGGAAAACACGACGTACGGGTAGGGTTAAGTGGTGGCAGAGTTCCCACGTCGTATGGATACGATAGGAAAACACGACGTACGGGTAGGGTTAAGATACTTAATAAAACCAGGGGCCACATCTTTCTACTGTATGTCCTCTTCACAAAGGTTATGATCGAATATTCTATTACTTTAAGTAAACATTCAGGGAAATCAAACACATTGTTTTCATCAGCACAAGTGCGATATCTGTATTATTGCTTTTAGAATGACGAGAGTTGTTTTTTCAGGATTGAACCGTCTTGTAGTTAAATATCTTAATTATTTACAGCTAGTTGCTTTTAATGAGTCACTTTGCTGATCTGTTGTGTAGTTACTGTTTACAGGTGTCTGTATATAGTCACTTTGCTGATCTGTTGTGTAGTTACTGTTTACAGGTGTCTGTATATAGTCACTTTGCTGATCTGTTGTGTAGTTACTGTTTACAGGTGTCTGTATATAGATTAGTTGGCACAAGATGGCAGCTGTAACTTTCACTATGTTGGTGATAAATGACTACTGTGTGTGAGGTGTGTGTGATAAATGACTACTGTGTGTCGTGTGTGTGATAAATGACTACTGTGTCGTGTGTGTGTGATAAATGACTACTGTGTGAGGTGTCTGTGATAAATGACTACTGTGTGTCGTGTGTGTGATAAATGACTACTGTGTGTGATAAATGACTACTGTGTGTGAGGTGTGTGTGATAAATGACTACTGTGTGTGAGGTGTGTGTGATAAATGACTACTGTGTGTGAGGTGTGTGTGATAAATGACTACTGTGTGTCGTGTCTGTGATAAATGACTACTGTGTGTCGTGTGTGTGATAAATGACTACTGTGTGAGGTGTCTGTGATAAATGACTACTGTGTGTCGTGTCTGTGATAAATGACTACCGTGTGTCGTGTCTGTGACAAATGACTACTGTGTGTCGTGTCTGTGATAAATGGCTACTGTGTGTCGTGTGTGATAAATGACTACTGTGTCGCGTGTGTGTGATAAATGACTACTGTGTGTCGTGTGTGTGATAAATGACTACTGTGTGAGGTGTCTGTGATAAATGACTACTGTGTGTCGTTTGTTACTTAAAAGTTGTTTTAGATCACAAATGTATTTACACCGAATTTGAATATTTTAACTTTTTAGCATTTTAAAGTAAATTAGTTAGCCAGTCGTGAAGTGAACTTTCGCAGAGGTGAACAACTTGTGTTTCATGCGCTCATATGACCTTAGCAGTTGCGAGCGCCGTAAAACCTTATACTATACATACATGTGTGTCGTGTGTGTGATAAATGACTACTGTGTCGTGTGTGTGATAAATGACTGCTGTGTGTGAGGTGTGTGTGATAAATGACTACTGTGTGTCGTGTCTGTGATAAATGACTACTGTGTGTCGTGTCTGTGATAAATGACTACTGTGTGTCGTGTCTGTGATAAATGACTACTGTGTGTCGTGTCTGTGATAAATGGCTACTGTATGTCGTGTGTGTGATAAATGACTACTGTGTCGCGTGTCTGTGATAAATGACTACTGTGTCGTGTCTGTGATAAATGACTACTGTGTGAGGTGTGTGATAAATGACTACTGTGTGAGGTGTGTGATAAATGACTACTGTGTGAGGTGTGTGTGATAAATGACTACTGTGTGTCGTGTGTGTGATAAATGACTACTGTGTGTCGTGTGTGTGTGATAAATGACTACTGTGTGTCATGTCTGTGATAAATGACTACTGTGTGTCGTGTGTCTTTACAGGTGATCATGGCCACCAACAGAGCAGACACTCTGGATCCCGCGTTGCTTCGGCCCGGTCGTTTGGACAGAAAGATTGAGTTTCCTTTGCCTGACCGGCGGCAGAAGCGTCTGATCTTCTCCACCATCACGGGCAAGATGAACCTGAGCGACGAGGTGGACCTAGAGGACTATGTGGCACGGCCAGACAAGATCAGCGGAGCCGACATCAACGCCATCTGTCAGGAGGTCAGGGGTTACAATCTGTTTCTCTAAGCTCACTCAACCCTAACCAGTACAGAAAGAATCCTGGTGTTTCCTCTATGCTGGCCAGTTTGGCACTTTTCACTTCTTCAGGAATGTCTCTTAACACATTACACCCTGAGGGCCTGGACGGGAAGTCCATTGTTAGATCCTAAGGGCCTGGACGGGAAGTCCATTGTTAGATCCTAAGGGCCTGGACGGGGAGTCCATTGTTAGATCCTGAGGGCCTGGACGGGGAGTCCATTGTTTGATCCTAAGCAAGGGGAAGGAACCCACCTCCCGTGAATACTAGCCTTTAAAAAACACATTTTAAAAATACTAAACAAATTCCAAAAATCCTGAAAAAATAAAAGTTAAAAAGAAAATTGTTGGAAATCGGGGTGTCCGACCCGTCACTCTCACTCTCAGCCTCGCGGTCGGGCCCTAGATCTAGATCTAAATTCTATAAGTTCTCCGTCTGATCAATCGGAATCGCCCCAAACTCTTCCTAAAACGTTTTCATCAAAATCTGAGCCATCTGATTTGTCACATGCTCGTTTTTGCTCAAATTCATCGTTATTTCCGTTTTCGAACTCAATTGTGTCGCTTTTCAACAAGTCGAGGCACTTTCGAAGTGTCGGTAACGCGATCGCACTTCGATCAGCTCTAATACTAAAACTACTGGCCCGAAAAATTTTGTTTCGGTATCAAACGAAAGAAGAAACTTTTTGCTATACTATGCAAATCAAAATCCCGGCCCCAGAGTCTCGTCAAGGCGAGACTTTCGTTTCTAAAGACACTGGGTCGCCACGGGCGGTTCCGGGCGAGTCAGGGTGGAGCGCGTAAGGGAATTCCCGGGCGATCCCGGGCGAGTTAAGGTGTAATGTGTTAACTGTGATGAGCCTGAGCCATGTTTAGCCCAGCAACTATCACGCTCGGACAGTTTGGGGGGACTTGACCCACTAAAACACTCAAAGCTATCACAAGTTTTTTTTCAATTGCAAAAAAAAAAAGAAAACAGACCGGTCGATCGTTATAGCTGTCTGGTGGTGTCTCATGACTATAGGACTGGTCGATCGTTATAGCTGTCTGGTGGTGTCTCATGACTATAGGACTGGTCGATCGTTATAGCTGTCTGGTGGTGTCTCATGACTATAGGACTGGTCGATCGTTATAGCTGTCTGGTGGTGTCTCATGACTATAGGACTGGTCGATCGTTATAGCTGTCTGGTGGTGTCTCATGACTATAGGACTGGTCGATCGTTATAGCTGTCTGGTGGTGTCTCATGACTATAGGACTGGTCGATCGTTATAGCTGTCTGGTGGTGTCTCATGACTATAACACTGATCAATCATTACTGATGTCTGATTTTGTCTCATGACTATAAGACAGGTCAGTAATTACAGCCGTCTAGTGGGTGGTTGGCGGGTAATCTGATGTAGTTTGCTCCTTCTTTCCTTTAAAAAAATCTATCGTCTTTATCTCCCCTCCTTCTTTTTATTGTTTGTCACTCTCTTGTTACACCTCTAATCTTTCTGCACTTATATGACCTTATTGTGTTGCAAGTGCCGTAAAACTCTTACTAAAACTAAACAGCTGTCAGGTGTTGCGCCATGGCTATAAGACTGGTCAGTCATTTCTGTGGTCTGGTGTTGTACCATGATGCTAATGTTGTGTTCCCCTTGTGTGTCACAGGCTCCCATGATGTTGTACCATGATGCTAATGTTGTGTTCCCCTTGTGTTTCACAGGCTGGCATGATGTTGTACCATGATGCTAATGTTGTGTTCCCCTTGTGTGTCACAGGCTCCCATGATGTTGTACCATGATGCTAATGTTGTGTTCCCCTTGTGTTTCACAGGCTCCCATGATGTTGTACCATGATGCTAATGTTGTGTTCCCCTTGTGTTTCACAGGCTGGCATGATGTTGTACCATGATGCTAATGTTGTGTTCCCCTTGTGTGTCACAGGCTCCCATGATGTTGTACCATGATGCTAATGTTGTGTTCCCCTTGTGTTTCACAGGCTCCCATGATGTTGTACCATGATGCTAATGTTGTGTTCCCCTTGTGTTTCACAGGCTGGCATGATGTGGTACCATGATGCTAATGTTGTGTTCCCCTTGTGTGTCACAGGCTCCCATGATGTTGTACCATGATGCTAATGTTGTGTTCCCCTTGTGTTTCACAGGCTGGCATGATGTTGTACCATGATGCTAATGTTGTGTTCCCCTTGTGTTTCACAGGCTCCCATGATGTTGTACCATGATGCTAATGTTGTGTTCCCCTTGTGTTTCACAGGCTCCCATGATGTTGTACCATGATGCTAATGTTGTGTTCCCCTTGTGTTTCACAGGCTGGCATGATGTTGTACCATGATGCTAATGTTGTGTTCCCCTTGTGTTTCACAGGCTGGCATGCAGGCAGTTCGGGAAAACCGCTATGTGGTTCTGGCTAAGGACTTTGAGAAAGGATACAAGAACAACATCAAGAAGGACGAGACAGAACATGAATTTTATAAATAAACCTAGTTCTGTGTCATGTTACGTATCTCATATACTTTTCTGCAGATGTGATCTGTTTCATTTGCTTTTGTTTGCTTTTTTTTAAAGGAGGGGAGAGGATGGAAATGAAGAATGGAGGGGGAATGTAGAACTTGAAATATCAGTTGTACATGTGGCTAGTATGTGGTTCAGGTATTGAAGGATTGCCCTTGTGGAGACGTATGTGCAAAAAATTTAATGTGTTTTGCTTTCAAATAAATTGAGATAAAAAATGCTGTAAGTCTAGATTGTTTGTGTTATCTGTAGTGTGGTAGGTTTGTCATGTAAACGGCGATGAGACTTGTGTTATCTGTAGTGTGGTAGGTTTGTCATGGAAAAGATGATGAGACTTGTGTTATCTGTAGTGTGGTAGGTTTGTCATGGAAAAGGTGATGAGGCTTGTGTTATCTCTAGTGTGGTAGGTTTGTCATGGAAAAGATGATGAGGCTTACAAGTTACTGGGCTTTACTTGACCCTTCTGCTGTCTGGGCTAATTTAATTTGCTGTAATGGAGTGTCTATTTCCGATCCATTCCTCCACTGTTTTACCCTAGAACTAGAACTGTCCGTGCATTTTCCTGTGCTGCCAGCTGGTGTTTGTCTGTTTGCCAATAGGTCAGAAAAGGTTCACAGTGCTTAGGGGGTAGCTTGAAACCCACATAATCATACATTTTCTGGAAGTATATTGAATGAGCTTCGATCATTAAGTAGGTAGCGTAAACATGGCCTCGCGGCCTTCCGACCTGGTGGTATCGGTAAAATCGGGGTAATTCCGATCGCTGTTTCTTTGCTCTTTCGCTATAAATCACCAAATGCCGTATACCTTGTAAAAGTTCAGCTTTTCCTCGTTACAATGGTGTAAGTTGTTTATATGTCCGATTATTAGGAGCTGGAGAATCGCCGACGAAAGCGAAGCCCCTCGCGGTCGGAATGCGACGTCGGCCGGTTGAAAAATTGAAACGCGTGCATTGAAATGTTTCGCGGAACGAGGGATGATTAAATACCGTCTTTTCATTGGCGGAGAACTGTAGAGCTTTAAACGGTCTTTCCCGTGATATAAGTTTAGCCTTTGGTGTCTTTAAAATACCGTCAAAATGTTTAAAGATCCCTTTTTACACAAAATATGTATAATACCGACTTATAACAGGTATCAATTAACTCATTCACTACGCCGAGCCGTGGGGGGGCGGCGCGGCTCAAGTGCCGTCAGTACGTTAAGCCGCCCCCAGCGGCTCGAGAACCGACGTTCAATTTTAGCTTGGTTTCTATTCCAATCCACTCATCTATGTTAAAATAAAGGTCATAATATAAAGTTGACTTCCGGGTCAAGCGTTTCCACCGAAAATCGGAAGTTTTGATTCAGTTTTGAAACATGATTTCGTAGTTTATTCGACTTTGTTTTATCGCGAAGCCCAAATTATATCCCAGACACCAGTCTTAGTACTTTTACACAACAAAATGTATAATTATTTTGCTCACTAAAGAAGTTTAGGACTCTTCTTTATAATATTGATACTATTGGACGCAAATTGCCGGTGCACTGTAATTGAGAAATCAATATTTTTGAGTGCTAGATCTAGGCCTAGATCTAAATTGTCCAAATATATTTTTCTCCCCAAAATCACTACTTTTGGGTGAAATATATCAAAAAGTACCACTCAAGACATGTATAGGTTTATTTCAAATGCAATTCTGAATAATTCCATATAAGTTACGCGTATTTTTTTCTGTTTGTGATCCTTTTTTCAAAATTATTTTAAAAATTATTTTTTTTCAATATCGGATGTTATGATCCAAATGTACAAATATTATGGAATGTATGTAAATAACTGCACATTTTTCAATATTTTCCTGTTCTATATACAGTTATGGTTATTTTGAGGTATCATTTGACTAGGTGCAAACATGTTTTTTTAGTTTCACCTGAGATGTTTTTTTTTTTTTTTTTTCCAATTTTATCCGCATCCAATCACAATTGTGTTGCATAATCGCCTCTTACAGGAACCAAAGTTGAAAAATACGCAAATAAATCATGCAGGTGTATTCTACAAACCATACTGAAATGTTGGTATATGATATGTTGATATTTATTTGAATTTATGGCCCCCAAGACCTGTGAACTGCGCACTAGTCATCATCTCATTTCGCCCTCCCGAAAAGAATTCGTCCACAAGCCGAAAATAATACGTAGCGAATGAGTTAAAAGATCAGCTCATTTTCTATTAGAACAAAGTTATTAACTTGGAATTATTTTTCATCAATCCTTCCGCGAGACTCGGAAAGCATGTGACCCGGCATGCGGGGTACAGTATAGAGCCGACTCGCTCGCCGCAGGGGCCAGTGCGCCGCCGCCGGGTCAACGCTCGGTGTTTTGGTCGAAATAACGACAGATCATCGTGTTTGAGGCGATAAAATACTGATTTTTAAAGGTCTCAGTCTTGAAAAAAATTAGGCTCCATATGTTTGTTATAGTGATTGTACTCTGTTAATGTGGAGATGTTTAGTGCACTTGGTACTTTTTTTATTTTCTGTCAAACATTGGGTTGCAGCCGGTGACTGACTTTAACAAATTTGATCAAATTTTAAACAACTACAATTTTCTTAAAAATTGACGGAGAGGTTAAAGAATGGTACCAAAATGCTCAGTGGATATAGGCCTTTCAAACGGAACAGATAAATTTGGCATACAGCTAGTTTGAAAATTTAGTTTCTGGTACCTACATTAAGAGCTTTCTTTTTATTTTGAAGTGACCTTGACCTTTGTTGACGTATGACTTTTTTGTGAAAATTTGTCTTCAAACGGTAGAAATGTATCCGAACTTGCTGAAAAACGGAAGTGGATGCAGTTCTTCATATAATGGGAATGCTCAGTACTAAAAAGTGATAGTGTGATGTCATTAGATGTACAAACGGCACATTGAAACTGCCATAATAGCACAGCAGTGGCTCACGACTATTGCAGGAAAAGAGACAAAAGAAATACAATTACAATATTTGTGTGAGCTATAAATGACCGTTTTGGTTTTTTGGTCTTCCTCTTTCTCAACTTTTGTCAATGCTCAAGTTGGTTGATCAAGTTGGTTGATCAGGGTATTGTCAATGCTCAAGTTGGTTGATCAAGTTTGTTGATCAGGGTATTGTCAATGCTCAAGTTGGTTGATCAAGTTTGTTGATCAGGGTATTGCCAATGCTCAAGTTGGTTGATCAGGGTATTGTCAATGCTCAAGTTGGTTGATCAAGTTTGTTGATCAGGGTATTGTCAATGCTCAAGTTGGTTGATCAAGTTTGTTGATCAGGGTATTGTCAATGCTCAAGTTGGTTGATCAGGGTATTGTCAATGCTCAAGTTGGTTGATCAGGGTATTGTCAATGCTCAAGTTGGTTGATCAGGGTATTGTCAATGCTCAAGTTGGTTGATCAAGTTTGTTGATCAGGGTATTGCCAATGCTCAAGTTGGTTGATCAGGGTATTGTCAATGCTCAAGTTGGTTGGTCAAGTTTGTTGATCAGGGTATTGTCAATGCTCAAGTTAGTTGATCAGGGTATTGTCAATGCTCAAGTTTGTTGATCAAGTTTGTTGATCAGGGTATTGTCAATGCTCAAGTTGGTTGATCAAGTTTGTTGATCAGGGTATTGTCAATGCTCAAGTTAGTTGATCAAGGTATTGTCAATGCTCAAGTTGGTTGATCAAGTTTGTTGATCAGGGTATTGTCAATGCTCAAGTTGGTTGATCAAGACTGGGCTATCAGGTAGGAATTTTCCAAACTGCCTTCAAAGTTCACTCAAGATATGCTCTATTCTAGGACATGATATCTCAACACTGAGGGTGAACAAGATATGCTCCATTCTAGGACATGATACCTCTACACTGAGAGTGAACGAGATATGCTCCATTCTAGGACATGATACCTCTACACTGAAAGTGAACAAGATATGCTCCATTCTAGGACATGATACCTCTACACTGAAAGTGAACGAGATATGCTCCATTCTAGGACATGATACCTCTACACTGAAAGTGAACGAGATATGCTCCATTCTAGGACATGATACCTCTACACTGAGAGTGAACGAGATATGCTCCATTCTAGGACATGATACCTCTACACTGAAAGTGAACGAGATATGCTCCATTCTAGGACATGATACCTCTACACTGAGAGTGAACGAGATATGCTCCATTCTAGGACATGATACCTCTACACTGAAAGTGAACGAGATATGCTCCATTCTAGGACATGATACCTCTACACTGAAAGTGAACGAGATATGCTCCATTCTAGGACATGATACCTCTACACTGAGAGTGAACGAGATATGCTCCATTCTAGGACATGATACCTCTACACTGAGAGTGAACGAGATATGCTCCATTCTAGGACATGATACCTCTACACTGAAAGTGAAAGTGAGGAAGATAACTGTACTGATAACAACAAATAACAACAGATAACAACTGTACTGATAACAACAAATAACAACAGATAACAACTGTACTGATAACAACAAATAACAACAGATAACAACTGTACTGATAACAACAGATAACAACTGTACTGATAATAACAAATAACAACTGTACTGATAACAACAAATAACAACAGATAACAACTGTTCTGATAACAACAAATAACAACTGTACTGATAACAACAGATAACAGCAGATAACCTGCTCTGATAACAACAGATAACAACTGTACTGATAATAGCAAATAACAACAGACAACAACAAAATAACAACAAATATCAACACAAACGTCCTAATTTAATTTAGTTTTTTTCCCGATAAATTGTTACTTTCGATTTTGAGCAATTCTCAAAAGGTGGTCCAAGTTGCACTGGGTTTGAGATATGAGCTCTACTGGGCCTCTCCCTAGTGTTACCAATGAATGGTTGATATCCAGATGCCAAGAACTGAATGATGAAACTTGCATAGCAGTTTCAGGGCTCTGTGTTGTGTATTTTTTGTGTTATGTGCCTATACAGACAAAAATTGGAACTAAAAATGTTACATTGACTGGGCTGGGGAACTTATTCATTCTGCCCTTGTCCACATCAATGTCAGGTTGTATTTTGTGGTGCTTTCCCAAAAAGAGACTACCAAGACCTACAGAACAAGCCAAGAACCATGCTGTTTATCAAGACCTACAGAACAAGCCAAGAACCATGCTGTTTATCAAGACCTACAGAACAAGCCAAGAACCATGCTGTTTAGGTATTTTGTATTTGATTGGTGATGATTTA